TATATTCCCACTACTGGGGTTGAACAGATTGCTGAGGATAGTGGCTGAGGACACATTACCTGGTCCTGGTAGTGGGAGGGACTATCAGTTCACAAGCAGGCAAGGTGTATGGATAAGGTGGATTGGATTAAGATTTTTCTACAACAGATGTGACACTTAATATGTGCTAAAAATGATTTTCCACTGGGGGTGATTTTGCCCGATAATGAACAATATCTGGAGAGCTTTTTTGTCACAAATGAGCGAATGTTACAAGCATCTGGTGTGTAGAGGCTAAGGATGCTGCTAAACTTCCAGTGGTGTGTAGCATAGCTTACCCAAAAGAGAATGATCTGGCTGGCCCCAAATAACACTAATGCTGAGATTGAGGAAACATATGTTACAAAAGAAAGAGAAGGAAAGATGTGCAGAAAAAAAGGAAGGCAGGCAAGAAGAGAGGAAGAAAATAAGTATAAATTCATTTTTGCAGTCCTGGACATACTTTTCTTGCAAAATTAACAACAAAGCAGTGCTATCATTCATATTAATATAAACGCAACAGGACTTTAAGTAGGTACTTATTTCAGTGGAGTTAGCAAAGTTAGGGCAGTGAAGAAGGTCTTTCTCTAGGGCCTATATTTTATTCCCTGCAGAATGATGACACTGGGGGGCATGTCTTATGGTCCAATGACTGAGTAGCTAATAAAATGATGAGTTCATCTGATCTTGGACCCTCACCCTACCCTCCACTTTATTTTATTCCCATGTATAGATTTAGAAGGTAAGCAGCTTACTGTCAATCACCCTTCATTCCTACCTTCAATGAACAAGTTGGTTTTCTGGTTATATTTTTGAAGTTTCCATCAACACAGAATTCTATTAGTATTCTTTGGTTTGGATGAGATCAGAAAGTAAATTGTAGACTGGAAAGAGAGTAAGATAGGGCTTGGTTGTGAATCATTAATGTATGCCTATATATAGGGTTTCACACTTTAACTTCAAAGGATAACAATTTTCTAGAGCTGGAGGGCCAGCTCCCTCTGAGGACAAACACCTGAAAGCAGAAATGGTCCTGAATAATTTTTCAAAGAAATCCAATGTAAGGCCATTTTGGCTCTGAAGAAGTACTTAAGAGGTTTATAAATGTGAGCATTTGAAAACTAAGCTCTCTGTTTATAAGAGTTAAAATAATCTACTTTGTAAATTTTTTAGGAATACAGCTGTTTTTATCAATTCATTATGAATCTTTGTTCAAAGTAAACAGATCATTATATTGATTTTCTTCTTATGTGAAACTCTAATTGGAAATTAAGAATCGATGGTATTAAAGCACATGGATTTTCCATTGACTGTATTTTACAGATATTACAGACTATATATTTAGAAATACATGGCATCATAATAAAATAAAAATAATAAATAGAAATGTCCATTCTGCTCTCCTACGCTGCTTTTATAATGTCAACCACTGACATTTATTATATCCAAAGGACAGTCATGAGACAGAGGACTAGAATGAAATCCACTGGAGTCAATGCGATTTTAGTGTAAAACCTGTGCAGTGCACTGAAAAGTTTCAGTAAGTAATCGACATTATGAGTCAGTCAGACTTTGGAATACTAAGTAGTCCTTATAAAAGAATGAGGTCATGTTGTATGCACTGACAGAGTAAGCATTTCAAGGCATTAATTGAAACAAAAAGTCCCAGAGCAACATGTAGATGATATATTTGTGAAAAGCCCCAGGGATATATATGTATGTGTATGTATACATGTATTCAAATATATAGAAGACAGGGGCAAAAGGCTGAGGAGGAAGCTACATACAGTGGAGAGGAAGAGAATTTTTGTTGCAGGCATGAAGGAAAAAGAACTTCTGTTGATTTTGGTATTTTTCTGTTTTAATGTGAATATTTTTGCGCAATAATAGTCATGTTTTATTTGCAAGAAATAATGAACAGCAACATTACCAACAGCAATGAATAAGTCTTCCATAGTTTTTCTTGTTTTTGTAATTTCCAAGTCTCAATTTGGTTTAGGAAGACAGACACCCCCATACACCCACACATACATACACCAAACTCCCATGTATTTCTACAAATTAAGGGTCTTGTGCAAATCTATGCTTCCTGGAAAATTCGAGTGCAAATATGTTTGGGGATGCATTCTTCAAACTTGCAGAAGAGTTTCTGTACAGAGAACTGTATTTTGAAGAAACAATTTTTTATTCTTTGCATGAAAGTAGGGTGGGCAAGAAAGAAGTAGGGTGGGCAAGAAAGAGTATTCCACATGCAGGTGAAAAGAATATGTATTCTACAGCTGTCAACTTTTTTCACCAACAGCCATTTGGTAGCACATAACATATACTATCATTTGTGGGCCACACAACATTATCAACTTAAAAATTAGCCTGATACAGATTTATTAAATTTTGAGTCCTATTTGCAGTTGCCTGTCTGAGCCATGCCAAATGATTTTGTGTGTGTAATAGTACTAACAGGCCAGACATTCCCCAATCTTGTAAGATAGGATGCTCTGCAAGTGTTCATTGAGTCCATTGGTCTAGAGTGTGTCTTAAATCTGATATTTCTTTGTTGGTTTTCTTTCTAGAAAATTGCAGTGTGTGGTTTTGAAGTTCCCATCCAACATTGTAGAACAAACCTTTTCAAGGGTGCATGGGACATTCTCTAGGATAGATCATATGTTAGGCCACCAAACAGGTCTTAACATTTTTGAGGATATCAAAGTCATATCAAGTATTTTCTCAGTATTGTGGTATTTCTCAGTATTTCCTAGTATGGAACTAGGAATCAGAACGCAGTGACTTTAGAAACCTTATGAGTACATGGAAATTAAGTCACCTGTTTCTGAGCAGCCAATAGGTCATTGAAAAAATTAAAAAGGAAGTAAAAAAACTTTTTAATAAATAAAAATGAAAACACAACATGTCAAAGCAGTTCTAAGATATATGTTTATAGAAATAAACACCTATATCAAAAAGAAGAAATAATGTAAATATAAAACTTATGTCGCACTTCCAAGAAGTGTAAAAACTAAACCCAAAAGTAGTAAAAGAAAGGTAGTAAACATCAAAAGAGAAATAAATGAAATAGAGACTAGCAAACAACATAAAACTAAGGATTAGGTTTTAAAAAAAGATAACCAATTAAATAAACTTTTTCATAGATTATTTAAAAACTGATTCAAAAGAATATTCAGAGATGACACTACAACCAGTACCACAGAAACACGAAGTATCAAAAGAGACTATTATGAATAACTTTATGCCAAAAATTGCATAAAACATAAAAATAAATATACAGATATAAAATTCATGATTGGATAAAAAAATAAATAGGAGATCTAGACAGCTAAATAATGAGTGAAGAAATTGAATCAGTAATAAACATATTAGAGTGCCTGAGATTGGGTCCCAGTTCCACTTTCTGATTCCAGCTTCCTCTTGGTGAACATCCTCATAGGTAGCAGGTGATTGCTCAAGTAGTTGGGTCCTTGCTAATCATGTGGGAAACCTGGATTGAATTCCTGGTTCCTGTATTTCACTTGATCCTGCCTTGAATCTTTCAGGCCCTGGGGAATAAAACACTAGATGGGAGATCTCTGTCTGCTCTTCTCCCTCTCTTTCTTTTCCCCTTTGGATGGAAGGAAGGAAATCAAGCAGGCAAGAAGGAAGGAAATCGGTCAGTCATATATGAGCTAGTAATCCTACTTTTGGGTATTTGTTAAAAAAAAATGAAATCATTATGTTGATGAGATAAACTCATTGCAACATTACTCATGATAGCCGAGATACAAAATCAACTAGAGTCTATTGATGGTTAAATACGTAAGTAAAATTTGTTGTATGTGCCAAATTCAATGCTATTCAGCCATTAAGATAAAATCCTGTCATTTGCATTAATGTAGATGTAACTAAAAGAAATAACTTTTTAAAAAGATTTTATTCATTTATTTGAGAAGTCGAGTTGCAGAGAGAGGGAGAGATAGAAAAGCATTCCATCCACTGGTTCACCCCCCAAATGGCCGCAACAGCCAGAGCTGGGCCAATCCAAAGCCAAGAGCCAGGAGTCTCCCATGTGGGTGCAGCCGCCTAAGCACTTGAGCCATCTTCTACTGCTTTTCCAGGCTGTAGCAGGGAGCTGTATCAGAAGAGGAGCACCTAGGACATGAACCAGCACCCATCTGGGTTGCCAGCACCACAGGCAGAGGCTTATCCTACTACACCACAGCACTGGCCCCTAAAGAAATATTTTTAAATGGAATAAGCCAGACACAGAAAGACAAATACTACATATTCTCATCCATTTGTGGAAGCTTAAAAAAATTCTCTCTCATAGAAAACAATGTACTAGTGATCACTAGAGAGTAGGAAAAGCAGGGGGAGATAGAGAGAGGTTAGGTAATGTGTACCAAAAGAGTTACACTAGAAGAATTTGTTATAGTGTTGTACAGCCTATTAGGTAAGATGTCATCTACCACAATTTATAGTACATAGATACAGAGAAGAGGAGGAGGGGGTAGTGCTGGAGAAGAAGGAAGAGAGGGGGAGAGAAAGAGAGAGAGAGAGAGAGAGAGAGAGAGAGAGAGATGATTCATCTTCTGGTTCACTCTCCAAATGCCTGTGATGGTCAGGGCTGGGCCAGGCTGAAGCCAGGAGCCAGGAGCTTCTTCTGGGTCTCCCATGTGGGTGCAGGGACCCAGGTACTTGGACCATCCTCTATTGCTTTCCCTGGCACATTAACAGACAGCTAAATTGGCAGTGAGCAGCTAGGTCTTGAACTGGCTCCCATATGGGATGCCGGCATTGCAGGCAGAGGCTTAACTTGCTATGCCACAATGCTGGCACAGTCAACCTTATCTGATCATTATGTATAGTCTACATGTATCAAATTATATTGCACCACCAAAATGCTATGTGTTAATTTAAAAAAAATTAAAAAGGAAGATGATGAACCATAAAGAATACTACAAGAGAGCAGTGTCCTGTAGTTTTTAATCAAAGAGGTGTAATCTGTATACCACAATGATTTTGAGTCAAGATGAGTACTGATAATTGACTGTTGGCTTTTTCATTAAGAAACTTTCCTTAAGAATTTTGCCAAATAATTTTAAGTTCCATTTATATACAGGAAAAAGATACATCCAAGGAAAATGTTTTGCAATGGTAGAGGTGTGGTTTGGAGTGATGCACTGATAAGCCAAAGAGCATCAAGAATTGCCAGCTAACCACCAGAAGCATGGAATCAGAGAGGCTGGGAACATATTGCCTCTCAGAGACTCTAGAAGGAAATAAGCCTGCTGAGACCTTGATTTTAGGATTCTGGTCTCCATAACTGTGATATGATATATTTTCTTGTTTTAAGTCAGTAGGTAATTCGTTATGGCAACCATAGGAAGCCAATAGAAATCATCATACAAAATAAATCCAACATCATAGATATTTTTTGAAATACAAGCATAAATTTGCCAATGTTTGCCTGGCCATTCATCAGTAACAGAGAAAAGCCCATTACCTTTTTGATTGCAACAATTTAGAAAATACTTTCATCAGAAACAACAGGATTCATTGTGTAAGTCCAGGGGTATTATGAAAATGCTTTAAGGGAGAGAATGATCCTGCGGAGGAAGCAGGATACACAGCAGACTCATAGAATGACAAATGGCCTAAATAGCACTCTTGCCTCAGAATCAACCCTTGGGACATTCGGATCTGGCTAAAAAGCCCATGAGAGTCTCGCAGGCATGGAAAGCCAAGGCACTGTGGCAAAAACGACCTGAATGAAAGATCTCAATGAATGAGATCCCAGTGGAAAGAACAGCCATCAAAGCAGGAGGCACCTTTCTCTGAAGGGCGGAAGGAACCTCCACTGTGATATGGCCTTGACTAAATAAGTTCAGAGTTGGTGAACTCAAGAGGCTTCCATAGCCTTGACAGCTCATGGCAAGAGCCTTGGGTGATTACTGATGTCATAAAGAAGAGTGTCAATTGTTAAATCAACAACGGGAGTCACTGTGCACCTGCTCCCCACGTAGGATCTCTGTCCTTAATGTGTTATACTATGAAAATTAACGGTAAAACTACTACTCGAACAGTACTCTATATCTTGTGTGTGTGTGGGGGGTGCAGTCTGTTGAACTCTTTGCTTACTATATATAGACTAAGTTGATCTTCTGTATATAAAGATAATTTTAAATAAATCTTGATGAAGAGTGGGATGGGAGAGGGAATGGGAGATGGGATGGCTGCAGGTGGGAGAGAGGTTATGGGGGAAAAAGCCACAACAGTGCAAAAGTTGTACTTTGTAAATTTACATTTATTAAATAAAAAAATAAAAAAGAGCAAAAAAAGAGTTCAAAAATAGTATGAAGAAAAAAACACTTCCTCAACAGTAGAGACTAGTGCTGTTTCTACATTGACTCTACTATGGTATAGCATCATGTACTTTCTGAACAACTTCATTGTACACTTGCTTAAGAATGAGAGTTAATAAAAATATTAACATCCCAATATCATAAAAAAAAATGCTTTAGAACATAGTTTCTCAGTGTGGTTCTCAAAACTGCAGAATCAGTGGAAACTGGGAATCCTTAGACAATTCTTGGTCTCTACTAAGCCAATTTAGTCAGAACCTGATCCAAAAGTCCATGGCTAACAAACTCTCTAAAGGATTTCTGTGCCTGCTAAGATTTGAGAACCACATATCTTTCTCCATGGTACCAGGCAACTTCTAACTGATTTTCTTTCCTTCTGGTTGCCACAAGGATTCTTCACCTTGTATCAAGCAATCCTAGTGAAACCAGCAGGGTCCATTTTGTGTTTTCCTATCTGTCTTTTCTAAGGCCTGGAACATACAAAAATGATTTTGTGGTCCAGCTTGAATAGAAGAAGAATTTCCATTAATTTGAGTTCTCCCAATAACTCAGTACAGCATGAGGATTCCCTTATATACCTCTCGGTTATTTCTCTGCCCAACCCTGGAAAATTATTGCACAGTAGTGGGATATTAGGCCCAATAAGAATTAACTCAAAGAGTGAATTGCGACAAGTATGCCACCATTCCCAAACATCTATGTATCTTGGTGCAAGCTTCCCTTATGTTTGGTCAATAATATCAGATATAACACTATATTTCCTGGACTCAAATTTTGGCTCTACTACACATGAAATCTGTAATCTTGGTCAAGTGACTTCTTTGTGCTTCTAGTTAACTTTAATTAACTCTTTGAAAACATGAGGACAATAATACACTAATTTCATAGGATATTGAAAGGATTAAAGGATTAAAAGACCTGATGGCGCCCCAGCTCAATAGGCTAATCCTCCACCTGTGGCGTTGGCACACCAGGTTCTAGTCCTGTTCGGGGCGCTGGATTCTGTCCTGGTTGCTCCTCTTCCCTTCCAGCTCCCTGCTGTGGCCCAGGAGTGCAGTGAAGGATGGCCCAAGTGCTTGGGCCCTGCACCTACATAGGAGACCAGGAGGAAGCACCTGGCTCCTGGCTTCAGATCAGTGTGATGTGCCGGCCACAGCATGCCGGCCACAGCGGCCATTGTGAGGGGGGGTGAACCAACGGAAAAGGGAGACCTTTCTCTCTGTCTCTCTCTCTCGCTGTCCACTCTGCCTGTCAAAAAAGAAAAAAAAAGGATTAAAAGACCAATACATGTTAAACCATTAGAATGTTCTCTCACATGCTAATCTTAATGATGTGTTTGTTGTTTATCATTATCCTAATCATCACACTTTAACTCCTTTGTTCCACACTGATAATCTGAATATGTTTTTTTCAGTTTTTAAAAGATTTCATTTTTATTTGAGAGTGTTTATATATATATATATATATATATATATATATATACAGAGAGAGAGAGAGAGAGAGAGAGAGAGAGACTGAATCTGAATATTTAGTCAACCTACAAGGTGATTTGGTTTGAACATGATGTCTCTCCTGAAGTCATGCATGGCTTTAAATCCCAAACTCATGAGGTAAAGGTACTAAAAGAGGAAATCAACTGCAGTGTCTTGGCCCTTAGGTCATTGGGACTATACTCTTGGAAAGTAACTCTAGGAAGAGGATTGCCTTTAAAAGCTAAGTTGGGCCCAGCTATTCTCTCTCTATTCTGTCTCACCATGTAATCCTCTGTACACACTCCACCATTGCCATCCGCCATCTTCACCAACAACATACCATGAGGTCACTGATTCTTTGACTTGAACCTCCAACATTGTGAGGTAAAGAAGCCTGTCTTTCCATTGTAAGTAGCTTGTCCAGGTGTTTTATTGAAGTCATGAAAATGAGACCAACACACTAAGATTCAACCTTCAAATAAGCTGTTTCAAGGGTTAGTTATAGTTACTGGGTATATTATTAGAAAGGCTACTAGTAGATGTGATTAGGCATTCTTTGTTGACTAATTGGTGCTTATCAAAATTAACCTCCTACCCTCTCAAAGACACTAGGAGATAGGGGCACCATCTCTTTTGGTAGCCATCTCTCTCTCGTGCTCTCTCTCTCTCTCTCTCTGCTTTTCAAATAAATATATTAAGAAAAAAAACTCTCTGATTCTACAATGTTTGTTATGCTGTAATGATACTCAACTGTTTTTCAGGCTTTATTTTCCAGATACATTCATTAGTTTTCTAAGTCTTTATTCCATGGTCATGTTAGATGTAATATATTTGTGCAGTTCTTTGAAACTTTAAAAAAGGAAAAAAAAAGGTTCAAATTTTTATCAATGAATCTTGATAATTGAATAGAAGCAGCAACAAAAAAGATGTAATTTTTTTAAGTCCCTGAAGCAGGACACTAATCCTACTGTTATAACATTTTTGTTTCGGAATGTAGTATTTTTTGGGTATAGTGTTAAATATCTGATGGTTAATTAATGCGTTGCTTTTTTTTTTTCACAATCTCCTCTCAGATTGACAAGAATTTGAAGGAAGTGTCTATCACCATAAATAAGCATGGAATTAGTACAGTGTTTATAAATATTAAAGTCTGTATAATCTGTGTTATGGAAGAACTGAAGAGAAATAAGCAACTTGTCTTCAGGTTGGTTTAGTATTTTTTGTAGGCTAGTTGCCATTATGACTGTTATGCTGCAGCTCTTCAGTTATGCATTAAATATCATGGAAATGTATATCTGCACTGGATATAACTTTTTATTTTGTTTCTTTCTATTTCTAAATGCTGAGTCATGCTACAAATTTTGGATTGAATTCAAATCTGAGGATCTTTGGCAATGTTGCTAAAATGTTATCCCAGTATATTATCTTTAATGAAATAAGTACAGAGAGCTGAGTGATTTATAGAGCAATTTTTTGCATTGTTTCCTGTCTTGATTATATAGAAATAGGTTTTCATTCTCATGATTTTGAGAGAACCATTTTATTTTTAATCTGTTTATTTTGAAATCTGATATTTTACTTGGCAACAGGATTATGATTTTAAACACACTTTTACTAAAAATTTTATATACAATTCCTCTGAAACCTAGGAAGTTTTTTGCCATGTATTCTCTAAACATGGCATTTAACTAAAATGTACTTCCTTTTGTCTGATTGCCTCCTCTGTAAAGAACAAAGAAGAATGTTCTATTGTGCAGTCTGATCTAAAGTGATATGGCCATCTTAAGCAATTCTTCCAGACTAACAAAATTTCCTTATCAAAGGTATGTTTTGTGTTGCATTTTAATTTTAATTTTAAACTATAGTTTAATTTTAAATAAGCATTATTCCCAGAATAGAATTATAGCAGCTATGCTTTTATGCAACCTGTTCTTTACATGGTTGGGATTTTTAACAATGAATATGTGGCTAGCATGAAGGTTTAAAATATAATGCTACACTTTGGAAAGGCAAGCTAATTCTCTTCTTTGTATTTGTGGAATATGTTTTGTCTACAACAACCATTAAATTAATATTAAAATTAATAGAAACTTTACATTCCTTACACATCTAGGCTTTGGTCCTACTTACCTTTATATATTGGATGAATCTAGCAAAGAGAGAACTTGAACCAAGGATTTGCTTTGTAACTGACTCTCAGAAGCTGATTTGGTTAATTCCCTGAAGTCAGTCAAAATCAGTTCAATGAAAACAGTGAAGTTAAAGGCATAACTGGTAAGTAAGCACACTATCGTAGTACAACCCTAATAGTGAACTTACTCCTTTATATCTGGTTGGATTTGACATGCAGCTATATAGTATAACTCATGCATATACGGAAAACAGTTGTTATTTCTATTTTTAGATTATAAGTGCAGCCAAGAAGGTTGGATGCCAAGTGTTTTACTTATCTATGATTTATCACAATAATCCTTTAAGACATGTATGATTATCAATGTTTCATTATAAGAAAATAAGCCAATGAAAAACATTGTGGCTCAATGTGGTAAGCTACCATCTGCAATGCCTACATCCCATTTTTGAGCACTGGTTTGAGTTCTGACTGCTCTTCTGATCCAGTTCTCTGGTACTGCACCTGGGAAACTCAGGCCCTACCATCCATGTGGGAGACCCAGATGGAGTTCCAGGCTCCTGGCTTTAGCCTCACTTAGCCCCATGCACAGAGGTCATGTGTGGAGTAACACAGCAAATGAAAGATTCCCTCTCTTTCTCTCTGACTATGTCTCTCTCTCTCTCTCTCTCTTTAACACTCTGCCTTTTAAATAAATAATTTTTTTTCAAAAATAAAGTAAGTCCAATGAAGTTAAAGGATTCCCTAATATCATATGTATAGAAAGTAACAGAGCCATGAAAACTCAAGTTTGATTCCAAAAGCTGCACTTGATTTTCCTATGCCACATCAGAGCTTTGGATATTTACTTTATCTCTGTAATTGAACCACTAGCATGTGAATTTCTTATGTTTTCTGAGCATAAGAAAATATTAAAAAGTCTGTGAGTGATTTAAAATAAAAACATTTAAATCTATGTCTGTCATATAAAGATATAGCATAGCATCATCCAAAAACCTTGTCAGAATGTTCTCAATTCTGGCAGTCTGAGTCACTGCCAAGAAGAAAAATGTTAGTGCCAGGCTTGATCTAAGTATCACAGTATGTCCTCATGATCAAATTAATGGATAATGTCAAAATAGAAACTTTAATTCATCCTACTCATAGTCACACCCTTTAGGGTCAGTAGTATCATTTGTTCTAGTCAATGGCATTCCAAAGTCCCCCAAAATTTCACCTTTAACTGTATTTCTTGATAGCATGAAATGTCTTATTTTTGTTAAGTGAATGAGTATCTTTAAAACAGCTACTTTTATCCATGAACTAGTCCATCAAATTTTATCTTTTTTAAATTATTTGACAGGAAGAGTTATAGATAGTGAGAGAGAGAGAGAAAGAGAAAGGTCTTTCTTCCGTTGGTTCACTCCCCAAATGGCCGCCATGGCTGGCACTGCGCCGATCCGAAGCCAGGAGCCAGGTGCTTCCTCCTGGTCTCCCATGTGTGTGCAGGAGCCCAAGTACTTGGGGCATCCTCCACTGCCTTCCTGGGCCACAGCAGAGAGCTGGACTGGAAGAGGAGCAACTGGGACTAGAACCAGCGCCCATATGGGATGCCGGCACCGCAGGTGGAGGATTAGCCAAGTGAGCCACGGCGCCGGCCCCCAAATTTTATCTTAAAAGGTGAAAACTTTCCTCTTGCTAGAAAATACTCAGGGTATTTTTTGAGAACAGATAACCTAGACTGCAGAAACAAATACAATAATCTGTGCAACTTTCCTTTGGAAAGATAATTTTACTGCTTAGTAAGCATCTGAATACATCATTGTTGAACTAAATGGACATCAATATATTTTTCTGAATTCTCACAATTTTTTAGAGGAACAGAGATCGTAAAGTACATAAGTTAATTATTTTGCAATTTTTCACATTTCAAGACCATTGTTTCCATGTATAGTAGAGACATACAGCATTATGAGTCATTCATATATTTTCTAGTCACTGAGAATGATTTTGTAGTCACCATATTGTAGCTCTTCATTGTTTATATTTCTGAATTGCACCTAACATTTAACATTGCACTTGCTTTACATTTGTGTGCTTATTTGTCAATGATCATTTTGTGTAACATGCATATATTTGTTAGTTAAGTTTGGACTCATTTGGTTGTGGGGCAGTTGGCTGTGTGCTTTTGTGTGCAGAAGGCTATGATTTGTTGGATGAAGGTCATAGCCTATCTTCTGTTTCATAAGAGGAAAGGTAATAAATATATTGTCATCAGACTCTAATTTAATATTATAGATGATTTGTTACTTTCATATCTGAACTTTAAAACACTTTCTGGAGAGTATTGAAAAGATAAAACTTGCTGTCAGTTTTATGTAATAAAATGTATAAAAGTAGAAGACATCCAACATATACATAGACATTGTATACACAGACATTTCTATTTAGCAATATGCTCCTTAATTACTGGGTTACTATTGTAAAAGTTAACAGAAGTAGAATGGCAGGAATAGCATTAAAAACCCAGTGACTTGTACACTTATTCTCTTATTTTCTTTGTCATATATTACAGCCTAATCTCAGAACACATTCTTATTCCCCAAATATAGGAAGACCAAACAAATCCTTTTTGTTAAGACTGGATGACATTTATTGAAACAAATGGATTGATGGATGTAAGTGTGTGTTCCTATGAAAGAAACTACTTAATTCAACAGTTACCTTCTTCTCTAGCAAACACTTTCTGCTGGTCTCTAATTGTTAACAAGTGTTCTGGCAATTTTATGGCAGTCATTGAACTACAGGGCACTAGCTCACTGAAGCATTTTATGTGATAATGCTACCTCTTGAAGATAAGTATTTTTCTCTTATTTAAAATAAGTCTTTGAACTTTAAGAATCTAAAAAATACATTATGAGAGTAAAATACTGTATGAAAAGAATTCTAACATTCTACTGCGATTTGACATTTTAGTTGCTGATTAATGCTAAAATGAAAAAAAAAAAAATCCTGCCCTGTATTCCGCAAGAGTAAAGACAATATAGTGTCATTAGGCTCTAATATAAAATTATAAATGATTCATTACTTCTATTTCTAAACTTTAAAAACAGTTTATGAAGTGAATTTAAAAGGACGAACATACTTTAAGAATTTATATAATAAAGTTTATGAAAGTAGAAGAAATCCAACTAATTGTAAATATAGATGTTTCAATTCAGCAATATGCTGTTTAAAAGCTGGGCTGCTAATGTAAAAGAAGTCAAGGTAAGTAGGACGGTGGGGATAGCAGAAAGAACCAGTGAGTCCTGAACTTGCTCCTTTTTGTGATAGAAATCAGCTCTTCCTCAGATAATGTTTTTCTCTTGATAAAATATTTATAACTTCTTAATAGTGTTTGTTGATACTTGCTGACACCTTTGGAGTAGAGGCAAAAGACAATCTGGGGAAAAATAACAAAATCATCTCTCTCATTTGAAGGCTTTTAGGTAAGAAGTTACCAAAAAAAGAGACATTTTGTCTTTAAACTGCTAATTCTGGAGATTGTTGTAAAATCAGATTTCGACAGTAAGGGCTATCTCAAACCTTTACAGATGATGAAATTGGTATTGTCAAGAAATGTGCTGACATAGTTTTCTAGTTATTAAATGCCAAGAAAACACTAAGCCCTTCCACCGTCCACATTCTCATTGACTGCTTTCTAAAGTAAGCAATGGATGTGGAATTGCCACTCCACAGGGAGCACACAGCACTGCAGAGGATCCAAGAACGGCCACATACTGTTCGTGATTACACTTGGGACAAAAAATGGCTATTTCAGGCCTAGCAATGATTTTGATTTCAACATCACCCTTCACATTGAACAATATCCCTGAGACTTGCTGGAAATAATTAAAGCAAGTCTTCCATTTAACCTATGTTTCACTGCATGTGAGAATTATACCCCATAAGGTGCAGGGTCTTTCTGCACAATATAGACTTGGTATAGAGAAAATAAAGGAATAGTATGAGCTCTTGGGGGTCTTTTGGGAGAGGAATCAAAATACCATGTGAACATTTTTGAAGGCAAGCAATTTGTTTTAATATTTAAAGGCATAGCTTTGAAATGAGGCAACCTGAATCTCAGTACCACAGTATTTTAATTCTTAAACTTGTGAAAGTTATTCTTTCTTAGTTTCAGTTTCCTTGTATGTGAAACAAGCTTAAATAGATACCAGTTTCATAAAAATGTAGTGAATAAAATGGAATTGTTAAACAAAACGAATGGTCCCAGAGAAATGACTGTCAGCATTGTTATCCTTGTTGTTGTCATCATCATCAGTGAAAGTTCATTTTCAATCCAGAATTCGAGAGAGATAAATCCCATTTATTAAAATCTTATCTCGGGGGCCAGCACTGTGGCTCATTTGGTTAATCCTCTGCCTGCAGTGCCGACATCCCATATGGGCACCGGGTTCTAGTCCCAGTTGCTCTTCTTCTAGTCCAGCTCTCTGCTGTGGCCTGGGAAGACAGTGGAGGTTGGCCCAAGTGCTTGGGCCCCTGCACCCACATGGGAGACCAGGAAGAAGCACCTGACTCCTGGTTTTGGATCGGTGCAGCGCTGGCTGTTGCGGCCATTTGAGAAGTGAACCAACTGAAGGAAGACCTTTCTCTCTGTCTCTCTCTCTCACTATCTGTCAAATAAAAAAAAAGTCTCATCTCAGGAGCTGGGGCTGTGGCATGGGGGTAAAGCTGCCGCCTTCAATGCCGGCATCCAATATGGACCCCAGTTTGAGTCCCGGCTGCTCCACTTCCAATCCATCTTTCTGCTGTGGCCTGGGAAAGCAGTGTAAGATAGCCCAATAAAATAAAAATAAAAATATCTGACACCCTCATGGGAGATCCAGAAGAAGCTCCTGGCTTCTGGCTTTGGATCAGCCCAGCTCTGGCTATTGCAGCCATTTGTGGAGTGAACCAGTAGATGGAAGACTTCTTTCCCTTCTCTGCCTCTGCCTCGCTGTAACTCTGCCTTTCAAATAAATAAAATAAATATTTTTAAAAAAGTTTCTTTTTTTAAAGATTTTTTTATTTGAAAGTCACAGTTACACAGAGAGAGGAAAGGCAAAAAGAGAGAGAGAGAGAGGTCTTCTATCCGCTGGTTCACTCCCCAATTGGCCACAGTGGTTGGAGCTGCACCGATCTGAAGCCAGGAGCCTGCAGCTTCTTACAGGTCTACCATGTGGGTGCAGGGGCCAAAGGACTTGGGCCATCCTCCAGTGCCTTCCCAGGCCATAGGAGAGAGCTGCATAGGACTAGAACCCGGCGCCCGTATGGGATGCTGGTGCCTCAGGCCAGTGCATTAACCTGCTGCACCACAGCACCAGCCCCCCAAAAAATAAAGTCTCTAAAAGAAATCTTATCTCATAAACCACCAGAAAAATACTTTATTTTATGTTCCTCATTTTAGGCGATATACAGATATATGAGGGTACTTCAAAAATTCATGGAACATGAAATTAAAATAATATTATGTTTGTGCAAAAATTGAAAGCCATTTTGATGATGTGGCTTTTTAAAAGTTAGGGAAGTGTGTACTACAAAAAATATTTATGGATTTCAAAAAAATTTACCAAAACAAACTTATCTTTTAATTTCATTTTCTATATTTTTGAAATACCTTCATATATTGATTTTTGATTTTGACTATCACAAACTAGTCAGATATTTTTAGTTTTTAAAGATTTATTTATTTGAAAGGCAGAGTTATAGAGAGACAGAGAGAGAAATCTTCCATTGACTCATTCACTTCCCAATTGGGCACAATGACTGGAGCTGGGTTGATTCAAAGCCAGGAGCCAGGATCAAGAGCTTCTTCTGGATCTCTCACATGGGTGCAGGGACCCAAGCACTTGGGCCATCTTCCACTGCTTTCCCAGGTGCATTAACAGGAAGCTGGATCAGGGCCGACGCTGTGGCTCACTTGGCTAGTCCTCTGCCTGCAGCGTCAGCATCCCATATGGGCGCAAGGTTCTAGACCCGGTTGCTCCTCTTCCAGTCCAGCTCTCTGCTATGGCCCAGGAGGGCACTGGAGGATGGCCCAAGTGCTTGGGCCCTTGCACCAGCATGGGAGCTGGCATCTGGCTTCTGGCCTCAGATCGGCGCAGCACCTGCCATAGTGGTCATCTGGAGAGTGAACCAACAGAAAGAAGACCTTTCTCTCTGTCTCTCTCTCACTGTCTATAACTCTACCTATCAAAATAATAATAATAAAAAAAAATCTTTCACACACACACACACAAAAAGAAGTGGAATAGCTGAAACTCAAACCAGTGCCCATATGGGATTCTGAAGCCATAGGCAGCAGCTTTACCCTCTATGCCACAGCACCAACCCCATAGTCAGATATTTTTAATAAGGAACCTTAGAAAACAACAACAGGAGTTCATCCATTCAATACAAATGAGGGTAAGTAGAAAAGAATTATGATTTATGAGATGAACACAATGAATGAACAATCGTAAAATTTTTTTCACCAAATAATTGAAACCTGAAAAGTTATTCTTTTGGTGATATTTTGGAGACTTAAAGTTGAACAGGAAGTTTGGGAGTACGCGGCAGTTTTGACACCTCCCTAACAACTGGTAGTTCCTTAACCTCCTTGATTATGCAAATATTAGAAATGTTAGATGGAAATATGGCAGAGGTGAAGTGAGGGCGCAGTGTCTCTAGCTCCTTCCTTTTTTCCAAACTCACTATATTTCATGCTTTGCAGCTTCAGACCTTGATGTCTACAAGTCATATTCAAAAGTTTTACTTCTTACAGGGGAATAATGAAATAATGATCATAGCTGGGAGCAAATCTTGGACACTTTCTCAAAAAAATTGGCAAAAAGGAGATTCTTATCCTTTTATTAGTTTCCTATCTTCAACTTGTTCACCATTTATCCGTTGCCTAAGCAGTTTTCTAAAATTAGGACAAACAATTTGAATTTTCACACTGTTTTTGAAATTTACTCATTTACCTGTATTCTTTTGGTTTTCAGAAAATGTATCTTAATTATGGAAACTCATTTGCCTTAATTACCTATTGTCTCTAGAAATATGCTGTAAAGTCTTTTAATTATGGAAATACAAAGGTTTAAGTGAGAACATTTCTATTATAGACTTTATTTCCATATGGCAGATTGGGGTGAGAAAATCCCTTTCTACTTCAAACATGTAGATCGTGTTGCTCATTAGGCTACAATAATATAGAAGTAGGGCAATGGAGAGATCACAATAAAAGTTCTCTTGGTTCTTAAGTTATTCAGTAGGAGAGTAGGGATATTGATTACCTTTAAATCTTACTAAGTATCCATGTTAAAAATTTGAACTTAGCTACTAAAAATAATAGAAACAGGGTATATATCATTCTGAAATAAGTGGCTGATTGAGAAGACTGGACAAGAAAACTGGCAAATTGAATTCAACAGATAGCAGAAAAACAGAAAATTTAAGCTAAAAATGATAAATGGAAGACCAAATTTAGTGTCAGAGAAAGTAAATTTTTAAGGAGTTAGAGTGCAGAAGAAATAAAATTAAGTTATATACTGTATAAGGGATATACATAAAGGACTATGACTCAGAAATATTGAAAACATAAAAATAAAAAATAGCAGGCAAATATTAAGCCAAATAATATGACTATGACAATAATAAG